AAAAACTACTCCTTTTCCCATGAGGTGACACACGTGTCCTTACAGATAACGTGTCCCTATCTGTGGGTCGATCACAATGCCATGCAGTCAGGCAGTATGATACAGATCTTACCTCCCTACTCATCTCCCATTCTACTTTCCAGGAACATGAACATTGACAACTTTTAAAGCTGCAAAGTTTTCCCATACCAATGACTTTGAAAAAGACCAAGGTAGATATTATGATTGCTATCTTGACTCCTAGTGAATACTCCTGTGTTTTAGATGATATTGATTGGGTGGAGGATCAAAAATTCATTCCCCCATGGAAGAACAGTGTATTTCATAGAGTTCCTTTAGCCCGTTATTAGAGGGGGATATAGCTGGGGTAATTAGCACTCATCCCCAGCTCCACATCCATATCTGTGACATTATCATAAACCTGCATTACTGATGTTGTGAATGACACACATGTTATTCTCCCAGTTATGAAAGTGACAGAATTACGCAATGGCCTTGCATAACTGGGAGGGGTTTCAAAATATGAATTTGTCCCCCAAAAAAGAGAAGCTAGTTGCGGTGATAAAGTGCATATGCAAAATCCCCATTGGTTTGACAGATACATTGTCAAGTCACTGCCGCATCTCATTGTGATTAGCTAACAAGTTACACAAAGGGAGGATTAGTGGTTGGTAACCTTGACAATAACCTTGAGGTTGGGGTTGTTTGGTATATGTTGTCTTTTCGAGAAAAATATACATAACTGAAGTTGTGAGAGATCCTAATCTAATGTAAATGTAAATTTACATAATGCCAATGAGGAAGACAAAAATATAGTTGTTTCTAGAGAACCCCCCTCTCTCTTTGTTTTTGTATTTTTATTTGTATTTCACCTTTATTTAACCAGGTAAGCCAGTTGAGAACAAGTTTTCATTTACAACTGCGACCTGGCCAAGATAAAGCAAAGCAGTGCGATAAAAACAACAACACAGAGTTACATATGGGTTAAAACAAAACATAAAGTCAAAAATACAACAGAAAATATATATACAGTGTGTGCAAATGTAGTAAGTTATGGAGGTAAGGCAATAAATAGGCCATAGTGCAAAATAATTACAAGTAGTATTAACACTGGAATGATAGATGTGCAAGAGATTATGTGCAAATAGAGATACTGGGGTGCAAATTAGCAAAATAAATAACAATATGGGGATGAGGTAGTTGGGTGGGCAAATTTCAGATGGGCTGTGTACAGGTGCAGTGATCGGTAAGGTGCTCTGACAACTGATGCTTAAAGTTAGTGAGGGAGATAAGAGTCTCCAGCTTCAGAGATTTTTGCAATTCGTTCCAGTCATTGGCAGCAGAGAACTGGAAGGAATGGCAGCCAAAGGAGGTGTTGGCTTTGGGGATGACCAGTGAGATATACCTGCTGGAGCGCATACTACGGGTGGGTGTTGCTATGGTGACCAATGACCTAAGATAAGGCGGGGATTTGCCTAGCAGTGATTTATAGATGGCCTGGAGCCAGTGGGTTTGGCGACAAATATGTAGTAAGGACCAGCCAACAAGAGCGTACAGGTCACAGTGGTGGGTAGTATATGGGGCTTTGGTGACAAAACGGATGGCACTGTGATAGACTACATCCAATTTGCTGAGTAGAGTGTTGGAGGCTATTTTGTAAATGACATCGCCGAAGTCAAGGATCGGTAGGACAGTCAGTTTTACGAGGGCATGTTTGGCAGCATGAGTGAAGGAGGCTTTGTTGCGAAATAGGAAGCCGATTCTAGATTTAACTTTGGATTGGAGATGCTTAATGTGAGTCTGGAAGGAGAGTTTACAGTCTAACCAGACACCTAGGTATTTGTAGTTGTCCACATACTCTAGGTCAGACCCGTCGAGAGTAGTGATTCTAGTCGGGTGGGCGGGTGCCAGCAGCGTTCGATTGAAGAGCATGCATTTAGTTTTACTAGTGTTTAAGAGCAGTTGGAGGCTACTGAAGGAGTGTTGTATGGCATTGAAGCTTGTTTGGAGGTTTGTTAACACAGTGTCCAATGAAGGGCCAGATGTATACAAAATGGTGTCGTCTGCGTAGAGGTGGATCTGAGAGTCACCAGCAGCAAGAGCGACATCATTGATATACACGTAGAAAAGAGTCAGCCCAAGAATTGAACCCTGTGGCACCCCCATAGAGACTGCCATAGGTCCAGACAACAGGCCCTCTGATTTGACACATTGAACTCTATCTGAGAAGTAGTTGGTGAACCAGGCGAGGCAGTCATTTGAGAAACAAAGGCTATTTAGTCTGTCAATAAGAATGCGGTGGTTGACAGAGTCGAAAGTCTTGGCCAGGTCGATGAAGACGGCTGCACAGTACTGTCTAATATCGATCACAGTTATAATATCGTTTAGGACCTTGAGCGTGGCTGAGGTGCACCCATGACCAGCTCGGAAACCGGATTGCATAGCGGAGAAGGTACGGTGGGATTCGAAATGGTCGGTGATCTGTTTGTTAACTTGGCTTTCAAAAACATTCGAAAGGCAGGGCAGGATGGATATAGGTCTGTAACAGTTTGGATCTAGAGTGTCACCCCCTTTGAAGAGGGGGATGACCGCGGCAGCTTTCCAATCTCTGGGGATCTCAGACGTTACAAAAGAGAGGTTGAACAGGCTAGTAATAGGGGTTGCGACAATTTCGGCGGCTAGTTTTAGAAAGAAAGGGTCCAGATTGTCTAGCCCAGATGCTTTGTAGGGGTCCAGATTTTGCAGCTCTTTCAGAAAATCAGCTATCTGAATTTGTGTGAAGGAGAAGTGGGGGGGGCATGGGCAAGTTGCAGCGGAGGGTGCAGAGCTGGTGGCCCGGGATAGTGGTAGCCAGGTGGAAAGCATGGCCAGCCGTAGCAAAATGCTTGTTGAAATTCTCGATTATTGTAGCTTTATCGGTGGTGATAGTGTTTCCTAGCCTCAGTGCAGTGGGCAGCTGGGAGGAGGTGCTCTTATTCTCCATGGACTGTACAGTGTCCCAAAACTTTTTGGAGTTAGTGCTACAGGATGCAAATTTCTGTTTGAAAAAGCTAACCTTTGCTTTCCTAACTGCTTGTGTATATTGGTTCCTAACTTCCCTGAAAAGTTGCATATCGCGGGGGCTATTCGATGCTAATGCAGTACGCCACAGGATGTTTTTGTGCTGGTCAAGGGCAGTCAAGTCTGAGGAGAACCAGGGGCTATATCTGTTCTTTGTTCTGTATTTTTTGAATGGGGCATGTTTATTTAAGATTGAGAGGAAATTACTTTTAAAGAACAACCAGGCATCCTCTACTGGTGGAATGAGATCGCTATCCATCCAGGATACCTGGGCCAGGTCAATTAGGAAGGCCTGCTCGCTAAAGTGTTTTAGGGAGCTTTTGACAGTGATGAGGGGTGGTCGTTTGACCGCGGACCCGTTACGGATGTTGATTAAGACAGAACATAATCTATCCTACCATTCTCCTCCATAGCCACAGGAAGTAGGGGTGCTGACGGTGCTGCAGCACCCCCTGAAAAATCAGAATAAAAATAATATATAAATAATAAAAATCACAAAAGTAGTGCACTGGGCCTTTACTAGTCCTGTATTAGTGGATCGATATAGCCTTCTGTAGCTCAGCCCCCACCAAAAAATCTGCGCCCCCACCCCCAAACATCTTCCCGTGGCTATCTCCTCCCTGTATCTGTTGTACTTATGGTTTGTTTCAAGACACATCGCAACATGATCTGCACATCTTCTCGGAAGAAACTTTATATCAATCAGTGAATTGGCAAACACAGTAATACATTTGTGTAACAGCGTGGGCCATTGTTAATACACACATACGAGCATGATGCCAGAGACAAAGTGAAGCCACTGACATCAAATCAGACATGGATGCAACACAATGTGCGTCACAGGAAAAAACATAAATAAAACAACAATAAAAATAAAAACAGAAATATTTACTACACAACAAACATCAGAGGATAAAAACTAAAGAATAATTAAAACTGAAAGACTGAAAAGTGTGTTTTTCAAGATCCCTTTTAAATATGTCCACAGTTTCAAAGGTGAACCCAGTATGAAAATGTATGCACTCACTAACTGGATAAGAGCGTCTGCTAAATGACTAAAATGTAAATGTAGTTTCGACCCCCCTCAGTTTCTCTGGCAGGCTATTCCAGGGGCTGGGGTCATAGTAACTGAAGGCTTGGTCCTAGGCTTTGGGATAGTTAAAAGGCCAGTGCCAGAGGATCTGAGGGACTTACTGGGTACATAACTAAAAAGCATGTCTAACATGTATTGGGGTGCACAATTGTGGATTGATTTAAAAACCGGTGTAATGTGTGCTCTCCATCTGGTCTTGGTCAGTACCCGTGCTGCAGCATTATGTATGTTTTGCAGTTGACCAATGGCTTTGTTGGGTAGACCAGACAGGAGAGCATTACAGTAGTCAAGCCTGCTTGTAATAAAAGCATGAGTCTCTCTGTGTAAACTTTGTATTATTCAGAGCCGTATTGAAACCGGAAATCGTGTTTAGATTTTTTACGTTGTGTCATGCCTGTTAGAACACCTAACATATAGTACCCATTGAGTTATGAAACAGGGTTTTTTGATAATTCCACTGCCTTTTTTAGGATTTCCTTTGAACAATTCAAGTCACTGGCACTTTTGTTTACAACGTCTATTTAGACAAGTAAGGGTTGGAAATAATTAGGCCTGCAAGCTTAAGTGTGGACATATTTCCTTTCAATCAGTTTAAAAACCAACTCAGTTAATTAATCTTCTGTGCCATTACTCTCCCCAAATAATTTCCTTAATATCTGTAGTTAGCATATTTAGCGATTTGTTCTCCTTCTCCATTCTGTTTCTGTTCTCCTTTTTTTCCACAGAGTTCCCATTGACTCATATATTTCATCTTATATTTAAAGTACATCATATGCAAATCCAAGTCAAGATGGAACAATAGATGTACTATTATTAGTTGCATTTGAGGTATACCCTCCTTCTAGAACCGGTGAGGTATACCCTCCTTCTAGAACCGTTGAGGTATACCCTCCTTCTAGAACCGGTGAGGTATACCCTCCTAGAACCGGTGAGGTATACCTTTCTAGAACCGGTGAGGTATACCCTCCTAGAACCGGTGAGGTATACCCTTCTAGAACCAATGAGGTATACCCGCCTAGAACCGGTGAGGTATACCCTCCTAGAAACGGTGAGGTTATACCCTCCTTCTGGAACCGGTGAGGTATACCATCCTTCTAAAACCGGTAAATTAACCCTTCTAGAACCGGTGAGGTATACCCTTCTAGAACCGGTGAGGTATACCCTCCTAGAACCGGTGAGGTATACCATCCTTCTAGAACTGGTGAGGTATACCCTCCTAGCACCGGTGAGGTATTGTCACGCCCTGACTCAGGGGACTCGTATATGTTGAGTCAGGGTGTATATTCTTTGTTATGTAGTATTTTCTATGTGGGATCTAGTATGTTTAGTTCTATGTTGGCCGGTGTGGTTCCCAATCAGAGGCAGCTGTAGCTCGTTGTCTCTGATTGGGGACCATACTTAGGCAGCCTATTGGCACTATTGAGTGGTGGGATCTTGTTCCTTGTAAGGTATGTTGTGTGTGCTACCTTGGACTTCACGTTTCGTTTCGTTTATTGTTTTGTCGAGTGTTTATTGGTTTTATCAACATGTACGCATATCACGCTGCGCCTTGGTCTGACCCGTCATTCAACGAACGTGACAGAAGATCCCACCAAACGAGGACCAAGCAGCGTGCCCAAGCGGAGAGAGTAGCCATGTCACAGGTGGGCAATTTGTGGTCATGGGTAGAGATATTTGCGGGGAGAGGACCATGGGCTAAGGTAAATGCCCAGGCAGGAGAGGAGCAATGGCAACACGGAGGAGGCCGGTCGAGGAGGAAGCCCGAGAAGCAGCCCCAATAATTTTTTTTTGGGGGGGGCACATGGGGTGGCTGGCGGAGCCTAGTGTCAGAGCAGAGCCAACTCCCCGTACTCACGCGAGGAAGCGTATGACTGGGCAGGCTCCGTGTTATGCGGAGCTACGTACTGTGTCGCCAGTGCGCCGGCACAGTCCTGTACGTCCTGTGCTTGCACCACGCACGTGCCGTGCGAAGATGGGCATCCAGCCAGGATGGGGTGTGCCGGCTCAACGCTCCTGGTCTCCAGTACGCCTCCTCGGTCCCGCATATCCTGTGCCAGTTCTACGAACTGTATCGCCAGTGCGCGTTCACAGCCCAGTGCGTCCTGTGCCAGCACCCCGCACGTATAGTGCCAAAGTGGGCAGCCAGCCAGGACGGGTTGTGCCAGCTCTCCGCTCTAGACCTCCAGTCCGCCTCCACAGTCCGGCCCGGCCTGTTCCTGCTCCTCGCACCAAGCCAGTGGTGCGCGTCGCCAGCCCGGCCTGTTCCTGCTCCTCGCACCAAGCCAGTGGTGCGCGTCGCCAGCCCGGCCCGGCCTGTTCCTGCTCCTCGCACCAAGCCAGTGGTGCGCGTCGCCAGCCCGGCCCGGCCTGTTCCTGCTCCTCGCACCAAGCCAGTGGTGCCGTCGCCAGCCCGGCCCGGCCTGTTCCTGCTCCTCGCACCAAGCCAGTGGTGCGCGTCGCCAGCCCAGCCGGCTGTTCCTGCTCCTCGCACCAAGCCAGTGAGGTATACCCAGCCCGGAGGCGTCCCTCTCTCGAAACCGGTGCGGTCGACCAGCCCAGACCTTGGGTATACCTCCTTCTAGAAACCAGTGGGGTTACCCTCCTCTGAACCGTGCAGGTTACCCTCCTCTCAAACCAGTGGGATACCATCCTCAGAACAGGTGAGGTATACCTCCTTCTAGAAACCGATGAGGTATACCCTCTTCTAGAACCGGTGAGGTATACCCTCCTTTCTAGAACCGGTGAGGTATACCCTCCTTCTGAACCATTGAGGTATACCCTCCTTCTAGAACCGGTGAGGTATACCCTCCTTCTAAAACCGGTGAGGTATACCCTCCTTTAGAACCGTGAGGTATACCATCCTTTAGAACAGGTGAGGTATACCCCCTTCTAGAACCGATGAGGTATACCCTCCTTCTAGAAACCGGTGAGGTATACCCTCTTCTAGACCGGTGAGGTATACCCTCCTTCTTGAAACCATTGAGGTATACCCTCCTTCTAGAACCGGTGAGGTATACCCTCCTTCTAAAACTGTGAGGTATACCCTCCTTTATGAAAACCGTGAGGTTACCCTCCTTCTAGAACCGGTTGAGGTATACCCTCCTAGAACCGGTGAGGTATACCATCCTTCTAGAAACGGTGAGGTATACCATCCTTCTAGAACCGGTGAGGTATACCCTCCTTTCTAGAACCGGTGAGGATACCATCCTTCTAGAAACAGGTGAGGTATACCTCTTTCTAGAAACGATGAGGTATACCCTCCTTCTAGAAACGGTGAGGTATACCCTCCCTTCTAGAACCATTGAGGTATACCCCTCCTTCTAGAAACCGGTGAGGTATACCCATCCTTCTAGAACAGGTGAGGTATACCCTCCTTTAGAACCGATGAGGTATACCCTCCTTCTAGAACCGATGAGGATATACCTCCTTAGAACCGGTGAGGTATACCTTCTAGAACCGGTGAGGTATACCCTCCTTAGAACCGGTGAGGTATACCCTCCTTATTGAACATTGAGGTATACCCCTTCTAGAACCGGTGAGGTATACCCTCCTTTAAAACTGGTGAGGTATACCCTCCTTTAGAACCGTTGAGGTATACCTCCTTCTAGAACCGTGGTATACCCTAAACGGTGTATACCTTTCTAGAACCGGTGAGGTATACCCTCCTAGAACCGGTGAGGTATACCCTCCTAGAACTGGTGAGGTATACCCTTCTAGAACCAATGAGGTATACCCTCCTAGAAATGGTGAGGTATACCCTCCTTCTGGAACCGGTGAGGTATACCACCCTTCTAGAACTGGTAAATTAACCCTTCTAGAACGGGAGTATACCCTCCTAGACCGTGAGTATCCATCCTTCTGAACGTGAGGTATACCTCAAGAAGGTATACCTCGTGGTCCTCTGTAGCTCAATTGGTAGAGCATGGCGCTTGTAACGCCAGGGTAGTGGGTTCCATCCCTGGGACCACCCATACGTAAACATGTATGCGCACATGACTGTAAGTCGCTTTGGATAAAAGCGTCTGCTAAATGGCATATTATATTATTATATTATACCCTCCTTCTAGAACCATTGAGATATACCCTCCTTCTAGAACCGGTGAGGTATACCCTCCTTCTAGAACCGGTGAGGTATACCCTCCTTCTAGAACCGGTGAGGTATACCCTCCTTCTAGAACCATTGAGGTATACCCTCCTTCTAGAACCGGTGAGGTATACCCTCCTTCTAAAACCGGTGAGGTATACCATCCTTCTAGAACAGGTGAGGTATACCCTCCTTCTAGAACCGGTGAGGTATACCCTCCTTCTAGAACCGGTGAGGTATACCCTCCTAGAACCGGGGAGGTATACCCTCCTAGAACCGGTGAGGTATACCCTCCTTCTAGAAGCGGTGAGGTATACCCTCCTTCTAGAACCGGTGAGGTATACCCTCCTTCTAGAAGCGGTGAGGTATACCCTCCTTCTAGAACCATTGAGGTATACCCTCCTTCTAGAACCGGTGAGGTATACCCTCCTTCTAGAACCGGTGAGGTATACCCTCCTTCTAGAAGCGGTGAGGTATACCCTCCTTCTAGAACCGGTGAGGTATACCCTCCTTCTAGAACCATTGAGGTATACCCTCCTTCTAGAACCGGTGAGGTATACCCTCCTTCTAAAACCGGTGAGGTATACCATCCTTCTAGAACAGGTGAGGTATACCCTCCTTCTAAAACCGGTGAGGTATACCCTCCTTCTAGAACTGGTGAGGTATACCCTCCTTCTAGAACCGGTGAGGTATACCCTCCTTCTAGAACCGGGGAGGTATACCCTCCTAGAACCAGTGAGGTATACCCTCCTTCTAGAAGCGGTGAGGTATACCCTCCTTCTAGAAGCAGTGAGGTATACCCTTCTAGAACCGGTGAGGTATACCCTCCTTCTAGAACTGGTGAGGTATACCCTTCTAGAACCGGTGAGGTTTAACCTCCTTCTAGAACCGGTGAGGTATACCCTTCTAGAACCGGTGAGGTATACCCTTCTAGAACCGGTGAGGTATACCCTTCTAGAACCGGTGAGTTATACCGTTCTAGAACCGGTGAGGTATACCCTCCTAGAACAGGTGATGTATACCAATCTTCTAGAACCAGTAAGGTATACTCTTCTAGAACCCGTGAGTTATACCATCCTTCTAGAACCGGTGAGGTATACCCTTCTAGAACCGGTGAGGTATACCCTCCTTCTAGAACCGGTGAGGTATACCGTCCTAGAACCGGTGAGGTATACCCTCCTTCTAGAAGCGGTGAGGTATACCCTCCTTCTAGAAGCAGTGAGGTATACCCTTCTAGAACCGGTGAGGTATACCCTCCTTCTAGAACTGGTGAGGTATACCCTTCTAGAACCGGTGAGGTATACCCTCCTTCTAGAAGCAGTGAGGTATACCCTTCTAGAACCGGTGAGGTATACCCTCCTTCTAAAACCGGTGAGGTATACCATCCTTCTAGAACAGGTGAGGTATACCCTCCTTCTAAAACCGTTGAGGTATACCCTCCTTCTAGAACTGGTGAGGTATACCCTCCTTCTAGAACCGGTGAGGTATACCCTCCTTCTAGAACCGGGGAGGTATACCCTCCTAGAACCGGTGAGGTATACCCTCCTAGAACAGGTGATGTATACCAATCTTCTACAACCAGTAAGGTATACTCTTCTAGAACCCGTGAGTTATACCATCCTTCTAGAACCGGTGAGGTATACCCTTCTAGAACCGGTGAGGTATACCATCCTAGAACCGGTGAGGTATACCATCCTTCTAGAACTGGTGAGGTATACCCTTCTAGAACCGGTGAGGTTTAACCTCCTTCTAGAACCGGTGAGGTATACCGTCCTAGAACCGGTGAGGTATACCCTCCTTCTAGAAGCGGTGAGGTATACCCTCCTTCTAGAAGCAGTGAGGTATACCCTTCTAGAACCGGTGAGGTATACCCTCCTTCTAGAACTGGTGAGGTATACCCTTCTAGAACCGGTGAGGTTTAACCTCCTTCTAGAACCGGTGAGGTATACCCTTCTAGAACCGGTGAGGTATACCCTTCTAGAACCGGTGAGGTATACCCTTCTAGAACCGGTGAGTTATACCGTTCTAGATCCGGTGAGGTATACCCTTCTAGAACCGGTGAGGTATACCCTCCTGGAACCAGTGAGTTATACCCTTCTAGAACCGGTGAGGTATACCCTCCTTCTAGAACCGTTGAGGTATACCCTCCTTCTAGAACTGGTGAGGTATACCCTCCTTCTAAAACCGTTGAGGTATACCCTCCTTCTAGAACTGGTGAGAGTGTGGCGTGCTGTGTATTCCTGTTTTCCCTGAGTTAAAACATTAGCATCTCATTTGGGCCTGGGTGAGAGCTGTGGTTACCTCATGGAACTGGGTTATTTCATCACTAGGAGAGCTGCGAAATTGAGCTGACTGTGCTGGCTGACTGTATCCACACACGCAGCAGCTCGAAGTAGAGCAGAGGGATTTCAGAGAGGCATTTCGCAAACATCACACATGACAATGTGCGATGGCACCTATCCTGGTGTTTTCTGGGAAATATCCCTGCTCTAACGTCAGCATCCCATTGATCCTCAACACCATTTGAACAACATCATCACACCCACGCACACCTAAATGGAGCTAAATGGAAAGAGTTATCAGTTGGCGATTAGCTTTGTCACCACGTCCTCTGACGTCTCCTATATAGCTGTCAATTAGTCCTCGGAGCAGCCCAAGAGGAATCCTATACAGTACAGTGAGAGGAAGATCTAAATCATCAGGGTAAATAGCATAAAGCATCCCTCAGTGAAATAATTCATATGCAATGCTCACGTTTTTGTGCCGATTAAAAGGCTATGGCAGGTGATGAGTTAGAAATAAACTACTTGGATTAGAATTCTGCCTTTAATTGGATAGATGAAAGAAGCAATTAGTTGCACTTGAGTGAAGAATGTGTCCTTTTTTCCAAGATGACTTTTCCTTCTTTAATGGGAATGGGGGAATTGTATGTTATAGCTATGCATTGATTTCTTTGTGCATTAGGTTAAAACATGATTGTATTTATTTCTGAGTGTGTCACTGTCTTTTGATCTTGGATTTTTCTCTCTGAGTCCCTGGTATCGACATAGTGAATGTCTCTAGAGAGGGTATGCTAGGCTCATAGAAGACTGGTGCTGAAGAGAGGGTCAGCTGTCTACAGACTACGACTAACTGTAGAGAATCATAATAGGACCTCTCTCCCGTATGTAGTGTCTGAAACTGAAGAGGACTCTTATTACACTGTAATACCCATTTCAAACAGATAATGTGGTATGTTACCTGTAAAAAATATAAGATATAAGGCAATATATCTTACCTTTAAAATAGCCCCTTATTCACCACTTACCCCTTTTATACATATCAGTGGGTCACTGGCAAATTGGGAGGGGTGGAGAGTGGGTGGTGTTGTTTAACCATGGGGGCTGTTTGCAGTTCAAATTAGGGAGGTGTTAAACAATGGAAGTGTTAATGAATTTACCTGCAAAAAAAGCAGAGAACCATTCACACAGACCCGATACCTGTATTTATATTACAGGTCTGTGAAAATGCAGGAATCATGACTTTTATTTTTCCATGTTTTTTACCCCCTACCCCTTTCAGATATACGAAAAGCTGGTATAAAAATACAGGCATGGTAAATTAGTGGGATTTTGGTCTGTGTATGAAAGGGATATCATACTGCAGAAGCCTATAGCCAATACGTTTTCATACGTTCTGAACGCAATAATATTTCATCTTGATTTCAAAAGGTATTATTTTACCATCAGCTTTCAAAGGGAAATCAATGCATTTATCCGACGACTTAGACCTATTCAATGCCACATCAGTTGAGTGTAAGAAGATATTTGGGTCAGCCATTTTGGATTGCCTCCCCCATCTTTTTACTGAGAGGCAGTTCATTTGCACATCAGACGTTATTTCACTTTGTCATCCCTGTGATTGTCCCACTTATAACAAAACATACATTTATAACTACCTTTATAGCTATGTTGTTGTTGCACAGCCCTTACTCATCAATCAGAAATCAAAGCTTTGACAGTTGCCAACATTAAAGGACTGCTCCTGGTGTGTCCTGTGCCGAGAGGTTCACTTTGACCTGAGCATATTAATATAGGTTGCAAGGGGAGTTATCACAGATAATTTGTCACAGATCATGAAGAGAGAGGATGGATGGATACTCCTGGGCCAAAGCTCAGTTGTGTATACTATCTTTACTTTGACAGATTATTTACAATACAGATATGCAGAAACACTACAGCATGCCTAACTTTTGAATAGGGAGATTTAATCAATTTAATGGCCCAATGCAGCGTTTTTTTAACCTTAATATCAAATCATTTCCGGGTTACGATGAAGTACCTTACTGTGATTGTTTTCAATTAAAATGGTCATAAAGAAACAAAATTGTTTCTTATCAAAGAGCAAATTCTATGCAACATTTTTGCACCATACGGAAAAGTAATATATGGCAATATATGTATATTACTTATATGTTTTATATGCCCATATATGGTGGAAACATAAATGCCCATATATGGTGGAAATGTATATGCCCATATATGGTGGAAACATATATGCCCATATATGGTGGAAACATACAGCGCATTCGGAAAGTATTCAGACCTCTTGACTATTTCCACATTTTGTTACGTTACAGCCTTATTCTAAAATGGATTAAATTGTTTTTTCCCCCTCATCAATCTACACACAATACCCCATAATGACAAAGCAAATACAGGTTTTTAGAAATTGTTGCAAATGTATTAACTAAAATCTGAAATATTACATTTACATACAGTACCAGTCAAAAGTTTGGACACACCTAATCATTCAAGGGTTTTTCTTTATATTTACTATTTTCTACATTGTAGAATAATAGTGAAGACATCAAAACTATGAAATAACACATATGGAATCATGTAGTAACCAAAAAAGTGTTAAACAAATCAAAATATATTTTACATTTACATGAAAACAGCGCCGGAGAAGATGGCTGCCGTTTTACAGCCCTCTAACCATTTGTACTATTATGTGTGTTTTTCCGCGTTATTTGTAATTTATTTTGTACATAATGTTTCTGCCATCGTCTCTTATAACCAAAAAGAGCTTCTGGATATCAGGACAGCGATTACTCACCTCGTATTGGACTAAGATTTTTTCTTCAACGAGGCGGCCGCGAAGGATATCATACAGACACCCGACAAGGCCCAAATCCCCGTCATTCGCGTGAGGAAGAGACGGAGATATCGTGGACGTAGATCGGGGTGCCTTGTAAGGATCCGACGGCGAGCGAGTAAACTGCCTCTTCCATCAATCCTATTAGCCAATCTTCAATCATTGGATAACAAATTGGATGACCTAAGATTACGGTTATCCTACCAACGGGACATTAAAAACTGTAATATCCTATGTTTCACCGAGTCGTGGCTGAACGACGACAATGATAACATACAGCTAGCGGGCTATACGCTACATCGGCAGGATAGAACGGCTGACTCCGGTAAGACAAGGGGTGGCGGTCTGTGTATATTTGTAAACAACAGCTGGTGCACAAAATCAAATACTAAGGAAGTCTCGAGGTTTTGCTCGCCTGAGGTAGAGTATCTTATGATAAGCTGTAGACCACACTATTTACCAAGAGAGTTTTCATCTATATTTTTCATAGCTGTCTATTTACCACCACAAACCAATGCTGGCATTAAGATTGCACTGAATGAGTTGTTCAAGGCCATAAATCAACAGGAAAACGCTCATCCAGATGCAGCGCTCCTAGTGGCCGGGGACTTTAATGCAGGGAAACTTAAATCCGTTCTACCTAATTTCTACCAGCATGTTAAATGTGCAACCAGAGGAAAAAAAACTCTAGACCACCTTTACTCCACACACAGAGACGCATACAAAGCTCTCCCTCGCCCTCCATTTGGCAAATCTGACCATAACTATATCCTCCTGATTCCTGCTTATAAGCAAAAACTAAAGCAGGAAGCACCAGTGACTCGGTTAATAAAAAAGTGGTCAGATGACGCAGATGCTAAGCTACAGGACTGTTTTGCTAGCACAGACTGGAACATGTTCCGGGATTCTTCAGACAGCATTGAGGAGTACACCACATCAGTCACTGGCTTCATCAATAAGTGCATCAATGATGTCGTCCCCACAGTGACCGTACGTACATACCCCAACCAGAAGCCATGGATTACAGGAAACATCCGCACTGAGCTAAAGGGTAGAGCTGCCGCTTTCAAGGAACGGGACTCTAACCCGGACGCTTATAAGAAATCCCGCTATGCCCTCCGACGAACCATCAAACAGGCAAAGAGTCAATACAGGGCTAAGATTGAATCATACTACACTGGCTCTGACGCTCGTCGGATGTGGCAGGGCTTGAAAACTATTACAGACTACAAAGGGAAGCCCAGCCGCGAGCTGCCCAGTGACACAAGCCTACCAGAAGAGCTAAACCACTTCTATGCTCGCTTCGAGGCAAGCAACACTGAAGCATGCATGAGAGCACCAGCTGTTCCGGATGACTATGTGATCACGCTCTCCGTAGCCGATGTGAGTAAGACTTTTAAGCAGGTCAACATTCACAAGGCCGCAGGGCCAGACGGATTACCAGGACGTGTACTCCGAGCATGTGCTGACCAACTGGCAAGTGTCTTCACTGACATTTTCAACATGTCCCTGACTGAGTCTGTAATACCAACATGTTTCAAGCAGACCACCATAGTCCCCGTGCCCAAGGACTCTAAGATAACCTGCCTAAATGACTACCGACCCGTAGCACTGACGTCTGTAGCCATGAAGTGCTTTGAAAGGCTGGTCATGGCTCACATCAACAGCATTATCCCAGAAACCCTAGACCCACTCCAATTTGCATACCGCCCCAACAGATCCACAGATGATGCAATCTCTATTGCACTCCACACTGCCCTTTCCCACCTGGACAAGAGGAACACCTACGTGAGAATGCTATTCATTGACTACAGCTCAGCATTCAACACCATAGTGCCCTCTAAGCTCATCACTAAGCTAAGGATCCTGGGACTAAACACCTCCCTCTGCAACTGGATCCTGGACTTACTGACGGGCCGCCCCCAGGTGGTAAGGGTAGGTAACAACACATCTGCCACACTGATCCTCAACACGGGGGCCCCTCAGGGGTGCGTGCCCAGTCCCCTCCTGTACTCTCTGTTCACCCATGACTGCATGGCCAGGCACGACTCCAACACCATCATTAAGTTTGCCGACGACACAACAGTGGGAGGCCTGATCACCGACAACGATGA